CCTGCAGAGAAACAACTCACGTGGAAATTCACAGAGCTGTGAGAGAAGTGCTTAGTGTAAATTATGATTACTTCTCAAAATGAAAAAAGAAACCGAGATGGGGTTTATCCATACCCTGATTGCTACAGTGTAATTTTAGCCTGAGAAGGCTAAAATACATCTTGAAATGTTTCATTGCAATTTTAAAGATTTGATTACTTGTGCTACAGTATCAAAATTGGTTCCTTCCCATGACAAGGTAAATGTATCCTTCATAAGAAATCCTAGATCAGTAGAAAGACTAAAATATATAATACATGCCAAACAGAAAAGATTTTTAAAATAGCATCTCTACCAGGACACATGGGGATTTGGTTTAAAAAATGTATTGCTTTTAAAGTAAAAACTTATTTTTCATCAATATTTGTGACCCTTTCAGGAAGGAGCCCTCTAAAAATACAAGAAAAACATAGTCTGTTTATTATCCTTGTGCTATTCAAGAGGGGAATGTCCTCTCTCGAAGACCATGTAGAAAAACATGTTTAGAGCATATTAGCCCAGGCTGTGCCAGATGGCTTCAATTTTCTAGTTTGTCAAAATAGAAGTGATAGAAGAATGAGATAGGGCAGAAGATAAAATGAAAATCAGAAAATCTTTACAAATCAAATGCAAATGAATATAAAATTTATAACCAATTTTGAGTGAGAATTATCAAAGGCAAAAGAGCTGTTTAAAATATGATGCAAAATTGTATCTGAGTTAATTTATGTCTTCAAAATGCAAATTGAATTCAATTCAACAGACATTTGTTGAATACTAAGTACAGAACATTGCACCAGGTAGTGAAGGAAATAGAAAAAATGAGTATGACCTCCATCCCTGCTTTCAAGAAACCTCCAAACTACTGATGGATATAATATGTACACAATCTCAAAGTAGTACAACAAAAAGAGATATAACTATTATTCATATGTACTTACACAATTTACAAAATACTGCATACATTATCTCACAACAACCTTGTGAGGTAGGGTTCTTTAAGTCTTACAATTCCCATTTTTCAATGAAGAAACTCAGGCTCAGAAAATTTAGTGATCTGCCCGAGGTCAGAAGCAAAGCCAGAATTCTAAACCAGGTCTTCTGATCCCACCTTCAGAGGTCTTGGCATTACACAAACAAACGCTAGACCAGGGCTGAGGAAGGAAAAAGACCATTTCTACTTGTAGAGGATCAGAGAAACTTCCTGAAGGTCATACCATTTTAGCTGGGCCTTGGATGGTGCTGGTGCCTCTTTCACGAATCAGAGGCTAAGGCGGGGGTTCTTACTTGATAAATTTAAAAAACAATTTTTTAAAAAGCGGAAAGTGGAAAGATAAGATGGTTTGGTGCCACTGAAGAGGAAGAGGCATATGGCATTGAGAAAGTGAATCACAGCCTGGTGTTGTCAATGAGGCAGATTAGATTTTAGTTTGATAGGCAGCCAATCAGTAACACAGACACACCTGCACAGCGGGAAATTGAGATGTAATTGATGTGTGTCAACCCCAGACATGAGGCATTTACCAAAAAGAGAGCCTGCTACTTTAACTCAGAACTGTCTTCCCAAGGGGAAAATGTTCATTAACAATTATCAAACTGAGACTTGCATTAGGAAGAGAGGGAAACACTTTTTAAGCTGATCAATCTTTTGAGTCTAAGTGGAGATCTTTTTAATGTACTGAGAGAAGTGAGAGACAATGAAAACAACAATGCCCTTGGAGTCCTAAGAGCTGGAATCAAGACCCAGATCTTCCACCTACTTGCTGCGTGACACTTGCCAAATGACTTCCTCTCACTGACTTTGGGATTCTTCATCTATAAAACCGAAACTAATATTTGCCTTTCCTATCTCATGGAGTTGTACAGGAAAGTATTTGGTGAACTTAAAGTGAGATAAAAGTATAATTATTTCCCCAAAGCAAAGAAGAAATTCAGATGTGGTTCATCCACACCATGACTACCACGGTGTGATTTTCTCTCTTCTTTTGCCTTCCCACTCTCATCTTTCATTTCATTATTGCATATAAAGTATTTGGTGCATATATAAAGACATAACACACTAAAAAAAACTAAATGATCAATGGTATTGTAGAACCCCTTCTGTCCTACCTCCTAAACTAGGCATTCAAAGGGTTGCAAGTTGGACTCCAGTAGTGTTCCTACTCATAGGTATTAGGGGTTACCCTGCGGGTCTCTACTAGTATTCTTCCACCTAATAGCCAGTAGACACAAGTAGCTCAAACGTGAGGCATTTATTTAAGATGACGTAGCAAGAACAGAAGCTACCAAACACACACACACACACACACACACACACACACACACACACACACACACGCATGTCAACCTAGGGTGCATCCTCTCACAAATACATACAGTATCCACAGGAAAAGTGGGGGGGGGGAACTTACAGTACACCGAGAATACAGTACAAACCTATGGATTATATGTAGCTAAGTAAACTCAGGTACTACAGGGCCCCAGTGTTCTTTCTCTCCCTGTGGAGTTCTCATACCACTCCCCCATAGGCACAGTGTCTCTACTGGGAGGATCACTCATCTGGGCCCCCTACTCTTCTCTTCTCTTCAGTTTGACTCTTAACTGCCAAGATTAGTTCTCTCAGGGTCAGCTAGGTGGCTCAGTGGATAGAGCACAGGCCCTGGAGTCAGGAGGACCTGAGTTCAAATGTGGCCTCAGACACGTGACATTTACTAGCTGTGTGACTCTGGGCAAGTCACTTAATCCCATTACCTAGCCCCTCCCCCCAAAAAAATTAGTTCTCTCTCAAATGCATAAATAGGGATAAGATATCAGCAGGCAGAATGGTTGGGGGAGAAGAATGAGAAGTAGTAAAAAAAAAGAAGGTCTTTCTTCCAAAACAAAACTGAGCAAAGGCATAGTTGGGGAAGTTTAAGGTGTTGACAAGAAATGTCATCCAATTTGGCTTGGATCACAGAGAAGGTGAAGGGGGACTAGGGTAATACGCAATTAGAAAAATAAGGTAGTGCCAAATTGGGGAGGGATTCAAATACTTTACTGAGGAGTTTGGACTTTATTCAGTAGCAAAGCACAGAAGTAAGGAACACAAGGAGAGATAAGGGATAAATAATAGGGTGTTAAACTGAATGTAAAGAAGCTCCGAATCTGTTTAGGAAGTACAGAAAAGTTCCATGACTTAATTGGAATTAGCCAACTGTCATTGGTCAGTTGATGACTGGCCACACCCCTGTTTGCCATTAAAAAGCTACTTTACCGACTTCAGTCAATCCAGGCTGGAGCCAGTCAGAGCAAGAACCCAGAGACTGAGGGGGAATTGTCCTTTACAGAAGGAAATGGAAAAAGTATTTTTCTCTCTGCCCCACTCCTACTCCCACTCCCCAATTCATCTCAATCCAACCTAGTTCTAAGAGCTGAGTTTCCAGCCACGAGGAGACAGCAAGGGGCAGAGACACTCACCATACAGACTGATACAGACACAGAGCAGCCACATCCAAAACAGGAGAAAGTCTGAAGGAGCAAAGCACATAGGAGGCATGTAAATGTTTGTTCCCTTCCTTTACAAGATCACACTAAGAGGAAGGGGTAGAGCTGAACCCAAGTACTTTAACTCCAAATCCACCTCTCTTTCCAGCAATACTATTAGAGTTAGGCAGAGTAGGCCCTTATCCACCATCTCCTTCTAATGTTTTCATTTTGAATGTGAAGAAACCCAGAGAAGGTGAGTGACTTATACAAGACCACCCAGCCCTTTAGTGGAAGAACTAGGATTGAATCCAAGATCTCCAGACTCAGTGCAGTCATTTTCTTCTTGCCCTAAGATCCAACTTCTTCATCTCATATATGTTAGGAAACAGGTTCCAAAAGATAGTAGCTCAATGGCACATAGCTAATTAGTGAGAGACCTGGGCTCAGGATTCATTCCATTACGACCTACATCCTTAGGAGAGCATTCTAGAAAGGCTGTTGTTGCTGAGTTAAGTTGTATCCAACTCTTTGTGATGCTGTGGACCATAGCACACCAATGCTATCCACAAGGTATTCTTGGCAGAGATACTGGAGTGGTTTGCCATTTCCTCCTCCAATGGATGAAGGCAAACAGCTTAAGTGTCTGTCCAGTCTTACCTACTTACACAGCTAGTAAATGTCTGAGGAAAGATTTGAACTTAGGTCTTCCTGACTCCAGGCATTTAGCTGCCTCCTCTGGGAAGGCTAGGGAAAGTTTATTTGTCAGGCAGAAGTTAAAAGACAAAAATTAATAATAAGCAGAGTACTTAAGGGAAAGATAATTCATTTCTGAATATGGACATGTCTTCAAGGCAAGCTATATCAAATACCTTTGAGGTACCCAGGTATATTGTCGGTTCACTAGTGGTAAGTCTACCACTAATTAGCTACATGACCTTGAGCTAGACTCAGTGGTCTCTTGGAATCTGTTTTCTCACACATAAGATGAAGATTGGCAGTAGATGACTTCTTAGTTGGATTTGAATCAAAGAGGGTTAGATTTGGAGTCAAAAGAAATACCTAATAAATGTCTTTTGGTTGAACAAAACATATATTACATATCTCATATATAAAATAAGCAGGTTAAACTAGATGACCTCTAAAGTACCTGCAAGCTGTAGAATTGTGAGCTCTAAAATTCTACTGATTTCACAAAATTTAGAAATAAGCGGTCAAGATTGCCCTGAGGTGATCTTGAGTCACTCCTTGGTTTTAAAACAAATGTCTAAGGAGGCAAACTAATTTTTTCTGGCCACTAGATGACCATATAAGCCATGGAAATACAGAGTTGTGCTCTCATCATCTAGTCCTTCAAACTCATTTGTTAATTGTCTTATTTCCCAACAAGGACAGCAAAGCATTTCAAGGCATTGCTAATAGTTCTTGGTATGTCCCAAGGCCCTCGGTTTTCATCACTTCCCTTTGTGATATATGCTTAGGATGGTCATGGGTGGAGCTGGTAGGGGTGGTAACCATTCCGGGAAAAGAAGAGAAGGTGGAGCTGGAGCGGTGGGTGTTTCCATGTGTTTTGTCGTTGTTCTGTCCTCAAACTCCTTGTGACCCCACTTGGGGTATTCTTGGCAGAGGGTGGTTGACCATTTTCTTTTCCAGTTCACTTTACAGATGAGGAAACTGAGGGAAACAGGATAAGGTAACTTGCCCAAGGTAACACAGCTAGTAAATGTCTGAGGCCACATTTGAACTCAGGTCTTCCTCATTCCAAGCCCGGTGCTCTATCCACTGCACCTTAGCTGCTCTTTATTTGTAGGTAAATAGTAAAGATGGACAGATTTCTAGACACAAGTGTGTTAATGAATGAAGGCTAATGTGTCCCAGTGTGTCTACAGTCAGACTATACTCTTAATATTCACCTCCATAGCTAATATGTCAATAATCAGTAAAAAACAGAGTGAGTGGATCAATCCATTATGGCCACTGGAAAGTAAGACTTCATGTCCTAAACTTTTTGAAGTTGTAATCATTTTTATTTGTAATAAAACAGCGAGTAATACAACTGTGGTAGCCAAATCAAAGGCATCATTTTTGCATAGAAGATGTGGCCCATTTTTCATTAACTCATGGAGGCTTAATGGCTAGAAAAAGTTAATAACACTCTTTTGAGAGGCAGCAGAGTATAGTGGCTAGAGTACTGGATTTGAAATCAGGAAGGAATCTAGATTCAAAACCTTTCTCTAGCACAGTGTGATCATGGATAAGTACCTTATTCTGTTTCCTAATTGACTGGAATGCATTCTTTGCTCACCTCTCTCTCTCAAAAATCCCATGCTCTTTATGCCCTTATTTCTTGTGCCTCCCCTCTGAAAGGATCTCATATTCATCTTGTATGTATTTTGTACAAACGTCAGTGTTTACACAGTGTCTCCCTTGATGCACTGTAATCTCTTAAGGTCAATCACTTTCATTTTTGATCTCCAGTGCCTTGCACGTAGTAGATGCTTCATAAGTATTTGTTGACTTATTAATTGATTAAAACCTGTAGAACCTAACTCAAAGAGTCATTGTGTGGCTCAAATGAGGTTATGCATACGAAATCCTCTGCAAACTCTGAAGCAGTCATAATAAGCAAGAACTATCTTTTGCTTTTCTTTATATCACCAGGGTTTAGCATAGTACCTGGCACGTAGCAGGCACTTAAAAATGCTTACTGAATGACTGTCTAGCAGCTAGCATTTACATAGTTCTAGAATAAGGGCCTGGACCCCATCAGTTTGCTCAAGTGATGCAACTGTCCCTCTTGGAGAGGCTGGGAAGCCCTGGTTCTGGAACAGTAGCAATAACCTATAAAGAAAGTGCTTTGGAGAGACTGTAGAGTATATGTGGACATTCTAGAACTGGTCCTGGATGACTAATCATGTGATGAAGAGGAAATTCTTTGGCTATGGAGGCATTCCAAAGGCCTTAGAGTTCTTCTACCATGTCTCTCATGCCTTTATCCTTTTGGCTACTCTGTTCCTAGTGGTGTTACTCCACTGATGGAGTCCATTGAGAGACCATGCCCTAGGGGCTGAAGCAGAGACTACAGACAGCAGATGTGCCACATCTAGACATGAATCTGGTGGGGCTAATGCTATATAAGAACTAAGTCTGGAGGAACTAAGTTCAGAGCCTATCCCCTCATAGATCAAGGTTGTAGAGGGGAGAATATGCCCCCCCCCGGTATTGAGGGGATATGTTTGTATGTTCATTCTTCCTAGATCTTTAAAGGAAATATTCCTTTGTAAAAGCTAATTGATACTAAGTGGTTAAATGGAACTGGAGCTAGGCATAGGTCCCTAAGGGTCTGGTAACACAGCCAGTGGGAGCTGTAGCTAATGACAGTAGAGAAAAGACTGCCCCCAAACCCCTTCGGGTTACTTAGAACACAGAGGCCCAGAACCCTATACTACCTATAATGCTTTAAGGGGTTTGCAAAGTATTTTACATACATTGCCTTATTTGATCTTCACAAAATCCCTGTGAGGTTGGTGCTATTATTACTTCCATTTTACAGATGAGGAAACTGAGACTTGCAAATACTAAGTGAATTGCCCAGGGTTACACAGCTACCAAATGTCTGAGGCAGGATACTGACTCAGATCCTCCTGACCCCAAGTCCAACACTTTATCCATCAGTAGTCACACTTGCTTCTGTAAGCACCTAACCAAGTCTTTGGGCTAGGAGAAACTTGAGCACTGAAGGAGACCCAAGTCCATTAGCAACTGCTTATACAAAAATATTCCTATGGCCCTAAAAGAACAGTATTTATTTAGAAACCTAAGATGAAAAGAAAGATTTTCTTCTCAGGCTTTTTTTAATCACCACCATCACCTTCCCCCACATCTTTAAAAGAAAATGCTTTGCAAATTTGTTGTGGTTGAATGGTTGTGCCATTATCTAAAGGCTATTACTGCTCCTAATAATGTAATGAGATGTAGTGAGTGATGCGAGCAGGGTGCTCAGTTCTTAAAATACCTGGATTTCTCATTTCACATTAATAGGGTCGCTGCTGCTCCCAAAATACAGTTCAATGGTTTTTACTACCTTTGGTATGTTGAGTTGTAATTGCAACGTTGTTGAAATCGACCTTTACGGATTGTCCATGGTGACAATACAAAAATCTCTCCTAGGAATGGTGACAGACAGAAAATTACATGGCTGTCTTCTAAGATGGGAGATTGTCTATCATGGCCTCTGCAGATTTCTTGCTTTTGTAGGGTATTTGAAGGAGTTTAAGTTTTCAATAATTTTGATTGGGAAGGGAGAGATGCAAAATTTATGCTTCTGTTTTGCTCTGTGATTCACAGGGAAAATAATTCCCTAAGGTGGTTCTTTAGGTGTCCGTAGTGGGGGAGTGAGGGGAGCGGGCAGAGAGGAGAGAGGCAATAACCAAGAAGGATTGAAGCATGTCTTTAAAACGTCAGAAACGTGAACAGAAATGACCACATAAGATATGGTAATATGTATATGCCAGGCAAATAATGTCTATGAAAGAGGTGATGCTATAATTTATACCAAATTGCTTACAGTTTCTGGGGAGGGAAGGTGAGTGAGGGAGAAAATCTGGAGCTCAAATTTTTAAAAAATGAACGTTAAAAAGTGTCCTTACATGCAATTGAGGAAAAATAAGATGTATTAAATTTTTTTTTTAAAAAAGAGGCAGTGTGAAGGAGAGGAACGGAATGCTGGGCTTGGAGTCAAGAAGTCCTGTTTGACCCTGGGTAAGTCACTGAACCACTTTTGCCTTACATAATCTTATAGGCTTTCATGTGATACAGTGTAAAGAATGATGGATTTGGGATCAGAAAATCTAGGTTCAAATCCTGACTCAGCATTTGCTACCTGGTGAGCACATAGACAAGTTATTCAATATCTCTGGCCTTCCAGAGGAAGATTGGACAAGATGATTTCTTAGGTTCTCTTCAAGCTCCAAGTCTGTGATCTACAGAGGCATAGCCATGTTGTGAACTATACTGGTGGAAGGAGTTCTCACACTGGGAGTTCTCCCACACAAACAAAATCAGAGGTCCTTTATATCTGCATAGAAGACCTTTGAAAAATGAAAAAGTAATCTTCACTCCTGACTCCTTCAACTTGTGTCCCTTAATGAGTAGCTTCCTATCATGCACAGTATTTCACAAATCACTGGATTACAGATTCTGAGCTGGAGGGAAACCTAGTAAATCACCTCATTCAATCATTGTCTTTGTGGATAATAATAATGGTTAGAATTTATATAGCACTTTAAGGTTTACAAAGTGTTCTAAATGTTATCTTATTTGGTCCTCATGACAACACTGTAAGGAAGATGTCATGATTATTCTCATTTCACAGATAAGGAAACTGAGATTGAGAGAGATTGAGAAGGTGATCCAGGGTCATATAACTAATATCTTGAGATAGGATTTGTACTAAGGTCTGGGCAGCTAGGTGGCTCAGTGGATAGAGCTCTGGGCCTGAAGTCAGGAAGACTCATCTTCCTGAGTTCAAATCTGGCCCCAAACACTTACTAGCTGTGTGACTCTGGGCAAGTCACTTTACCTTGTTTGCCTCCGTTTCCTCATCTGTAAAAGGAGCTGGAGAAGGAAATGGCAAACCACTCCAGTATCTTTGCCAAAAAAAAAAAACCAAACCAACCATATGGGGTCAGAAAAAGTGGGACAGGACTGAAATAACTGAACAACAACAATTTCTTTACTCTAGGTCCAACACTCTACCCACCTATAAGGAAACTGAGGCCCAGAGAGGTTAAGTCCCTTCCGTAAGATCAGTCAGGTAGTAAATGGCAAAGCAGGATTCAAATCCAAGCACTGTGATTCTCCATCTGGCATCCTTTCCACCATGCTAAGCCTCCTTCCCTTCCTACCTCAATTCTATGATCTTGACATAAAATAGAGGGTACCTGGGTATAGTACAGAACAAAACAGAGACCTTCCTAGGGCTAAGTTTACCTTTTAAACATTATTTTATACTGCATGCCCATGCATTATATTATTATTTTATAATGCATGGAAATACTGGAATCCATGAGTTAGTACCATCAAAATTTATAGAGAGCATGTCTGGGTCAAGTTCGGTCAAGTATTGGATAAGATCCAATTAGCCCTTTTCTAATTTATTTTTATCTTGCCAACTTCCCTAAAAATGCTTCCCAGATCATCTCAAATTACAAAAACCAAACCAAAGGCCAAGCTCCTGCCACAATGCTGCAGAGCATCGCTCATTTATTCGTTCCTGCACCTAACTGTGCTCTTTCCTTTTCAGGCCTCTGCAGGGGCTTCCTGTCTAACAGGCAATTGTTGGGCTATTTTAATGTCACTTCTCAAACTAAAGCTTGACCATGCCACAGTAACACCATCAACTGCTATAAAACACAAGCTAAAAAGTGTTAAAAGCCTCTAAGACCACAGAAAAACGGTTTGAGGTTTGTTTTAAAGTCTATGAATTTAACAAGTTTGTCTCATTTGATCAACACCCCCACTCCCCAGTGCTCAGATCAAGAGCCAGGCATTATTATGCTGATCCTAATTTTGAACTTCAGCAATGTTCACCTGCATCACTTGGCTGCAGCAGTATTAAGCCTATTGCAACTATTCATGGTGTTTTCCCCTATAAACTGGGGGGGGGGGGGTTAAAGCCCAGTCAAATTGCAACTCAGAAAGGCTTAAACAATAACCTTTCCCCAGAATGCCTTTGTGCCTGGATCACATGATCAGTGCACTTAATGGGGAAATCCTCCCTCAGGGTGACAATATTGGGAGGCACCAAGGCTCTTCCTTCAGTGGCCATATCTTAAGTTGGTGGTTCCTGAAAACAGGCTGAAGGGCAGAGCTATGGCTGAATGACCTAATGAAAACTGGTTAGCTTACCTGAAGTGCAAGAAGAGTAAGGACATCATCCAAACTGGGTACTAAAGGGCTAGAAATAAAACCAGCTTCACAGACCTCAAGTTTCCTTTATTGATCATCCAAATATGTCATGGTGACTATCTTTTCACAAGTTAATCCTCTAATACGCCAACCATGAAAAGCATTATCCATGAAAAAAAAAGTATACATATACATATACATATAGCTGATCTCTTCATGTGGAGCTGGGGAGAGACAATACAGTTCAGGGCACTGGAAAGAATGCTGAATCTGGAGTATGAGGACCTCCCCAAGCTACTTTTTGCTGTATGACCTTAGATAAGTCACTTATTCCCTTTGCGCCTCAGTGTCTTCATTGTCAAATGAAGACATTGGACTTAATGACCTCCAAGATCCCTCCTAACTCTGAATCTATGATCCAGTACTGTCAATGTTTTTGGTGATGCTGTCCTACTGACAAATTTAAAGGTGAAATCCACTCAGGCAATGAGATAGATCATTTCTAACAAGTCTGGATCTTAAAACTATATCAAAAGGAGGACACAGAGTTTCTACATCCTTCAGATAAATCTGGAAGTCTATATTCTAGGCAAAGATATATTGGCTCACTTCCCCAACACTGTTACTTGGTGTATCAATGGACGGTGAGCAGAATTTGGCCAGACAGAACAGGAACTAGTGACAAATTTGAACTCTCTATTGATATTGAAGATCCTGGTATACTTGTAGAAGTAGGGCTTGCTTGAGTGCAAACAAGGTATGGGAACTTTCTCTTCTTTCATTGGTTAACTTAGGTCTTGTAAGTGGCCAAGATCACAAAGGCAGTGTGCATTAGGTGCTCCTAACTTTAAGGTTGGCATTCTACCCACTCTAGTTCACTGCTCTAGTGGAGGGTCATGGTTTGACCCCAAGAAGTATATGATCAGCCAACCAGAAGATGGGAAGATGAGCTCCATCCTAGCCTCCCCATAACAGCTAATCACAAAGCTTGTTCTCAACACAGCTACCACCCAACACTCCACAGCAAGGATGGAAATGGACCTTTGGATGAAAATCTGAATGCTCACAAATAAGTACTCAGTAAACATTTATTAAGTGCTTAATATGCAAGTTGTGCTAAGTGCTAGAGATACAAACAAAGATAAAAGACAAACCCTGCTCTCAAGGAGCAATCTCAACAAAAACCTCTACCTTTACTGCTGATAATCTGGTCAGCACACGGCAAGGGCACTTTCTCCCTTGTACTAATCCCATAAGTGATTCATAACACAATTTTTTTTAAAAAATTCAATCCTTAGGGCCATAATAATCAGTAAACACACAAAGTAGGGGTCACCTCTATTTTTAAGTTTCCAAAAAGAGAATTCACAAAGGGAAATCAATGCATGACATGACAAAGTGCAAGAATTCATAATAAGAGTGAAGTTAATAAACAAATAAAAGAGAAACAAAACCTCCAAAATAGGTTTAAAAAAAAACAATATCAAAAGAAATAAATAGTGATTAAAATAAATAAAAGTCAGTATAATTAATATGCTTTCCTTAAGGTTTGTATTTATAAATTGAACTTCATACTTACATTAAGTTTGAAATTTTAGCAAGAGTTTTTTAACTTGACAATGCCAACCTTAAGTCTTAAGTTATCTGCCATAGTCAAACACGCACATGAGTTCCACCTTGGTTGAACACAACCAAGTACAGAGTTGTTGGAACTGAACTGAAATGTACTGAATTTCTGTGGCAAATTGTTTTTATTCATTTAACTTTCTCATGATCTTTACACAAATCCTGTATTTAATAGGACTATGCTGTCAAAACTAGAACCCAAATTGAATCCAAGAGTCTATAACTCCATTTCTTAGAGGGAGTAAATATTAACAGGCAAGTTGGTAATTTTTTTAAAGAAAGTCTTCTCTTTGTATATATAATCTAACATCTTGAAATAAGGATATTTCTATAAAACCATGTGCATTTTCACAAACTATTTCCACAGAGTACCTTCAGAGCTACCCATCAGTTTTTCTTATCCCCTAAAAAAGTTAAGATGAGATCCATAAAATTGATATACCCGTTCCACGTTCATGAGCAATCTGATTGATCCTTCCCCGAACACAGTCAAGAGAAATGGAGATCATTGTACCATTGTGAACTTCAAAAGAAGAACAGAGGCTCACACTGGTCCACATGCTTCCCTCTGGCATCTGACCTCCAATTTGCTGCGCAATTGCTGCTGGGTGTGTCTGATCCTGAATCAACTGATTTAAGGTAACCTTGATCACATTACATGAATGGATCAACTTTAGGTTAAAAGCAACATTGGCAACTCCCTTCTCTGTAAAAATGAAATACCTCTGAGCAAACTGTCCAGAAGAAACTAGCTGTATCTGTTTCTCATTGGATGTGATAAGTTTGAAATCCAAAAATTTGTTCCTGACAGCTCCAGTAGGCAGGCCTGTAGTGGAAACAGTGGCTGAAAGAGCAGTAGAAACTGCAGATGGGATCCAGATGAGGCTAAATGTACTCACGCCCAAGCTGTCCCCAAAGTAGCGAACACTACACTGGGCTGGCGAGAAAATCTCAAAGTTAATCTGATCTCCAGCCTGGACTCTGGTTGCCCCAGAGGCAGACAGAGAAGTATCTCGGTAATTTACTCCAGATTTGAACGTGTTCATCAGTTCTACGTTGGTACCATTCCTGCCGACGTAGGAAATCAAGGAAAAGCCTTCTCGAACACAAGTGTGACCCATGGAGTACAGTGCCTGGAGGAAAACAAACTTAATGACACCAGCTTCGGTGAACCTTATCCCTCTTCCATCGTGAGATAAGCTTATCATGTACGGGTCAGAAATAGAATTAATTTTAAATGTTGGGCGGTAGCTGGTCTGGTAATGCATAGCTGTGGACATCTGTGCACTCATGGCCACCGCCCCCGTGTCATGGGACAACCAGAACAAGCTGAGCGCTTTGTGGAGGTCATACACATTTAAATCTTTGCTTTGGTTGCAGAACTGATTCGGGCTTCTCAAGAACACGGCCAGGGTCTGGCTTGGCTCCACTTCGGCAGCACTACTTAAGCTCGCGCTCTGGAAATACTTTCCTTCTGGCTGTTCGATGCGAACTCCGCTGAGCTCAGACCCCTGCTCGCTGCTGTTTGACTTGAGGGAGAGCTGGAGAAAGTTCCTACAGTTGTGCTTCACAGCGAAGTTGAGGTCAACCCAGAGTAACCCATGCTGCCTGAAGACGAGCTTGTTGTCCTCAACGAAGGCGATATCGAATTTCATCTTCCCTTTTAACTTAAGATTTAAGCCAGGATAGACCTGAACAGAGGCAGACTTTGCTGAGGGCAGCTGGAGATCTGCAGCCCAAGACTTGGTGAGCTGGGTTTCACTGGCTGCGGAGCAAACGGTGTCAATGATTGCAGAGCAGGGGAGAGCCACCATTCCATCTTCACACTCCCGACAAGCCTGGCATTCTTGCACTTCCCTATTGAAGAAATAACCATCCCCGCAAAACCCTAGAGAGGCCTCCTTCTCCGCAATGCCCAGACATCGGAAGCCACCTGTTCGGAAGGGAAACAGTGCTGACTTGGGGAATATTTTTTAATGACCTATAGTTTGGAAAATGCAAGTTCAGAATTTTAACTATTGAAATGCCCTATCAAAATAAAGCCTTTAAGTGAGAAGTGAAAAAAGTACACTGAGAGTGTGATCTTTTCTGCAGAAAACTTTTTAAGGATTCTCATTTAAACCACAATACATTTTAGCTCCCTCTACTATGGGATTCTGAGCAATGTTTGCTAAAAACTAATTCCCCAAAGGTTCCATATAGGATAATATAAAGCTTCCTTGGTAGGTAGCAAGTCTTTCACGAGTGCTGTATTTAAGTAAAGGCGAGGTAATCATCAATCAATTAACAAGTATTAAGTACTTATTATGTGCTAGGCAATCTGATAAGCCCTGGGGATACCAGTATCAAGAATGAAACACCCCTACTTACAAATAAGCTTCATTCCGTCAAGGGGAAAAGGTTGGTCTAGAACCTCCAGGATCCCTTCCAACAATAAGATTTGATAATGCTAAATTAAATAAAGATAACGCCATGTTATATTGTTCATATATGTGGGTTTGTATGTGAGTCCAGCCTAGACTTCTAACAGATTAGGGAAGAGAGTCATTAGTTACATATTGACTAGAACTTGAAGGAAACATAAAACCACTTAAATCTCATACGGACAACCAAATAAAAAAATTTAAATGTCTCTTGAATAAATTAACTGAGGATAAAGTACTTTCAGTTTTCTCTTTTTTTATTAGTGTCTAACTTCATCATATTGTAAAATGAAGTATTAGGTAAAGGCCTAATTTTTCTTAGTGAAAGCACATGGGACACTGAAGACTCAATTAGGTGACTCAAAAGACTCATTTGTCTTTAGTCACTCATTCTGTTAAAAAAAAAAAACTCAGAAGCCAGAGGCCAAGATTTCAATTCCAAGCACAGAAGCAATGTAGTATTTTCCTCAAGAAGCCCCCAAAGACAAAGCAGAGGGTAAGAACCACAAGACAGTGTCATGGAAACATTTTCTATTTTTTTTTTCTAATTGAAGAATTGAGGGCAGAAGCATCTGGAGTCATAGTCTGACAAGAGATATCAGAGCTTCCTTAACCTGATAACGACCCCACCATAATTCAGTACAAAAGATATTCATGTCCCTTTCTCTGTTTTTCATTCATTAATTTCTATTTTCACTCATAGTGATGGGGTGCTTGGGTGCTTGTGTTTGGGTGCTTGTATTTGGACCCCAAATTCTCCCTAGCCTCAGAAACACTACCCCTGACAGTTTCTCCTCAGCCCAAGGACACCGTGCCTAGCAATTACTCATGACTGGGCCCCAGCAAGACCCTTATCTCTTTCCCTGGTGCAGTTCCAAACAGCACCTGAAGGAATTATTGGTTTGAACTGGCTTTGCACTGGGTCATAAAGACATTCTTACCCACTGGACTACTTATACTACCACCCTACCTCATTATCTACATCCTGGGCTCCTCATTAACTGTATTCTAGACTTAAGACATATGTATACTCCCTACATCTATCTTGTCAAACAAGACACTGACTGGTGGCAGACTGGACAACTCTCAGTTACCCCTGAACTCTAGTTAACTCAGTGACATAGCAGGCCTAAAACCACCCTCCATGTGGCCCCCCTTGTGGGCTTTTCCCAGTGAACTCTAGGTAAAACACCTGCTCAGTAGGTACCATTACTTTTCCCCCTATAACCTCAGGATCCTCTTTTCTTATTCTGACAAACGAGCAAAATAGTGAAAAGTAGAAAATGTTTAGCTGCTGAACGAGACAAATCCTCACTCAAATATTACATAAAGAGGAGAATAGGGATAGGGGAAAGAGAAAGTGGGAGACAGAGACAGAGAGAGACACAGAGAGAAAAACAAAGGAGGAGGGAAGGAGAGACAGCCTTGTGAACCATAAATACTAATTTTTTCTTCTCACAAAGTCTTGTTCAAACTCTAAATCCGTAGCAGTAAATTTCAATGAAGCTTTCTAATTCCATACCAAATAAACCTAAGTTTTCTTCCCTGGGTGTTTAAGTATTAGAAGTTGATTCAATTCAAAAAGTATTTTTTGATTCCCTACTACATGCAAGGTACTTCAGATATAAAGACAAAACAAAAAAAAAAGGTCCCCTTGAGGAGCTTATAGTCTACAAAAGATTGTGAATAGCCTACTGAGTTGATCTCTAAACTGAGCTGATTAGGCAATAGGATGCCCTTCTCCAAATACAAATATCTAAACCTCCAACTATATCCATTGCTGGGGAATCTTAAGGCCCTTATGTTGGCAAAAAAGGAAATCACAAAATCAAACGGACCTCAAGTTATGGATTAGTTTATTCTTCTATTTTAGAAATAATTTAGTAAATAATCCATTACACGTGGCTACCTTTTTTTCTATAAAATCCTCCAATATCTTATTCCAACATTTTACTGATTTTGGTAAACGAAGTTCTACCTTATACCCAACCAAGCAATTTCTCACTTTAATTGAATTCTTTTCCCCCTACTGCCATCTTTTTTTTTAGTGGACCTGTGCTTTCATCATTTTAAGGAACCCAGGTGAGGAACTTCCCCAACTAATGCAAACTGGCACCGACTCTGCTAATTAACAGAATTAGAGAACTGCTTGGGAGACTGAGAGAGGAGAAGTGATGCGTTCAGGGTCAGTGTGGGTTTGAAGCAGGACTTCATTTCAGCTGAGGAATGTGCTTTGCAAACCTTAAAGCACCATATAAATTCAAGTCATTCTCATTCAGTCTTCTTAGACAGAGAGAACACAGAACAACACCCTCCCCATAGAAACTCTTCATGCATTTGGAGATAATAATCAAGTGACTTCATGACCTTCCCTTCCCCAAGTTCCTCTAACCATAACTGCAAACTCGCGCCCTGTTTTCTTCATGAAGCAACAGTGTGGGAGGAGAGCTTCCTTTTCACAGAAGATTTCAAGGGGCAGCTAGATGGCCAGTGGATAGAGCACCAGTCCCAGAATTAGGAGGACCTGAGTTCATATCCAGCCTAAGACACATAATACTTACTAGCTGTGTGACCCTGGAGAAGTCCCTTAACCCCAAATGTCTCACCAAAAAAAAAAATTTTTAAAAACCAATAAAAAGGAAGATTTCATGTGTTTTCCCCACAATAAATGGAAGTCAGCTGCATGATTATGAAAAGGAAAAAAAAAATGGAGGTCTGGGCTCTCCTTGATCATGACAGTATGGGGATGGGCCTGGGGGAGAGAAGAGGAGGAGGAAAGAGATGGGGTGGGGGAGAGAGAAACTGAGACAAACAGGAGACAGAGAAAGGCAGATAGATAGAGAGTGACAAAGAGATAAATACATACATATAAGTTTGTGTATAAACGATTTATATGTACATATAGTTTACAAATGTGTATACATACACACAATATTGAAAGGCAATGTGGTATAGAAGATAGAGACAGGAGCTAAGAAGATGCGAATTCAGGTCCTACTTCTGACACAAACTGGCTGTGTGACCCTGAACAAGTCACTGTCAGCACTCTGGTATACTCTCTGAACTCCACATTCGGTGCATGGTACAACTGTCCAAGACCATAAATCGCAGAGAAGGCATCCACCTGCATTAGAAGAAGGAATTTCCTCACCTAGAGGCTCCCACTTCATTGAAATTACAGGTGCAGGGCCTGTCTACTATTACAGGTATGTATCCATATGCATATGCCCATATGTACATACAAAAAAAATTATACATAGAAAAGTATATACACCGGGTGTCCCTCTTTAAGCTATTTAAGCCTATATGTGTTCATTGCTAGTAGGAATAACTTTGTCCTTTGTACTTTTGTCTCCAGTGCTTATCAAAGTGTCTGGAACATAACAGGCACTTAATAAATGCTCGTTGATTGATTGATTGATGGGTAGTCAACCTTTAAGCTATTCAAGCTTAAACCTGCACTAGGACTTTTGGGACACCTCATAGCAATGTATCCATCCATGTATAAAAGAAGACAGTAATCTCTATCGACAGCAATGAAGAAGAGGAATGGTATAAGCCATCAAAAAGTCCAAACAATCTTAAAATCATTTTGATTTTGGCTCAGGAAGGCACTGCAGGACTTGTCAGCACCAAGTTTGCCTCCTTAATTATATTTTACTTGGGATAATATTAAAATTACTTCACATTCCCTGAAGACACACATGATGATGGTTGAAGGAAGACTCCCACAAGGATACATAGTAGCTATGAGAAGGCAATTTGGGATCACAATTTCCCGCAGCAAATCCCCAAAGCAGATCATTCACACACAATCAAGAGGGTTTAAAATGTCTAATGCTAATCTGAAAATACCTGTTATTTTCCAGTCTGTCATACACAGAGATATATGCAAAGGAAATACAGTCCACAGAAGGTTACCTGGGGTGTTCAGACATTTTATTCTTTCACCACAAATATTCGGAGATTCAACGCATTCATCCCTGTCCTGCAAAATAAAATAATCTCATTTTGTAAATATAATAATACATATTAAAAAATACCATTTTATAAATATGACCAAATATGAATGCTGGATAGAAATACTTTATAATGTTGATTCACTTTTAAAACAAGCTTGTTTTTAAAAAAGCATATAATTTTGTTATTGAATTACAGCAAGATAAAGAAATTTAAAACCGAAAACTATATTCCTTAGTTATGTTTTGTTTACACATCCAGTAATGGAGCATTTATACAGGGTGTCCCAAAGTCTTAGTGCAGTCTTCTGTTATTTAAAACTTAAGATTTAAAATTAAAACTTAAAATTCTATTATTAGAAATATAAAACTTAAAATTATTTTATATCAGAAATTTATACTTGGAATTTATTCTGGAAATTTATGTCTGGAGTTCATACTTGAAATTTATTCTGGAAATTTATATTTAGAATTTATATCTGGCAATTTAAATTTGTAAAAAGGTTTTTTTTTCCAAGCAGGACCTACAACAAATTGCCAGCAAGGCAACAAATATGGACTTACTAAGGAACTGTATGTCAGCTATTCAAAGACCATGCTAAGAACCAGGAGGACAATATACAAAATGACCATAATCATGTAAAATGAAAACAACACTAGAATACATCACACACCAGAATAAATGCAATGACCAATCTTGGTTTTCGAGGACCAACGATGAGACACACACACTCCCCTCCTCTTGGTACAAGGGTGAAAGAGTATGGGTACGGAACATTGGATTACACTGTCAGATACAGTTGCTGTATTGGTTTTTCTGTTAGAACAAAGGGTTCTAAGGTGATAAGAGGTATTGGAAAGCGACTTCAATTGAATTTGAGTAAAATTTCCCAATGCCTTACAAAATTCTTGAAAAATGTCACTAATTCTAATCTATAAAAGTGTAACATTTTACCTGACAGATTCGGTCAGTGTTTGCAGAACATTCAGCCATTTGAAAAAAGCCAGCAGGGCAAAGAGTGCATTTTTCACACTGAGAGGGTGTCTTCTGGAAATTGCAAAATTCATCACTTGCACAAAGGCCACAGTCCAGTGAAGTTTCTCCAGCATCAATCATTTTTGCGTCAACTCCAACCTTATGCACAGAGTATGACTTCTGCAGATGATTTCTGACCTGGTTTTGAAGTCCTTGAAGATGAGTTTGAAAGTAATGCTGGATGTCTTCCTGCAAATTCTGGAACGACATCTGTTTCACTGTGTCAAAAAGCATGCTGTACTGGGCCTTAATGAGATTCATTTGCTCATACATTTTCTTCTGTTGTTCTAGGATTTCTGTTTGCTGGCTAATCAACATGTTCTGTTGCTCAGTGAGTTTGTGCTGCAAATCAGCAATTACTTTCTGCTGGCTTTTTAGCATCTCAACAAATTTTTCTTGTCCTTTAGCAAGCTGCAGTTGTAGGATAAGTGCATCTTCAGAAGGAACCTCATTTTCTCCTGTAACACAGCCCAAAAAATGACTACATCTCCCATGGTTTTGCTCTTAATTTTCTGTTTAGTATAAATAACATTAAAATGCTAAGTTGCCACAATGCAATGTAATATTAATGCAAAATGCTGATTATTTTAACGATCAGACATCTTTGTTTGGAGCCCTAGAAGTTGGATGAAAAATCTTATACATTACATTACAAACACAATCTTTGTACAGCAACACAAATCCTAGGTTGTCTTCCTTTATTCTGCTGTGTAACCCTTGAATTATTTATTGAAGGCTCAAAACCAGGGCCGGGGAACCTGCGGCCCTCTAGGTCCTCAAGTGGGGCCCTTTGACTGAATCCACACTTCACCGTGTGAACAGGACAAACAAATTTGAGGAGCTAGAGGGCCATCTGTGGCGTTGGGGCTGCAGGTTCCCCACCCCTGCTCAAAACTAACCAATATTTTAGAAGTCCAAATAGTAAGCTCTGGCATACAAAACACAGACAAATAACAGCAACAGAAGAAGCAACATGGTATAATGGAAAGAGCCCCAGACAAGGAACTGAAAGACGTCACCTACATTTGACTACAGCCTTGAGCAAATAAATCACTTCACTGCGCTGAGTCTCAACATCCTTATCTATAAATTGCAAAGAATAATATCCATGCTTTCTTCACTGGATAAATGCGACCTTCTTATTGACATAATTTTTGTGGAAGGCAGGCCCATGGCTTGATGCACAGTGCGGTATAGTCTGTGGTTACTCAATTGATATCAACTAACTTTGGTTAGTTCAGTCATGTCTGACTCTTTGTGACTCCATTTGGGGTTTTCTGGGCAAAGATACTGGAGTGGTTTGCCATTTCCTTCTCCAGTTCATCTTACAGATGAGGACACTGAGAGAAACCAGAGTCAGACAGTTAGCAAGTGTCTGAGGCTGGATTTGAACTCAGGTCTTCCTGACCCTAAGCCTGGCACTCTATCCACTGGACCACCTACCTGCCCCAATCAACTGATTAGTCAGGTTATGTTATGGAAGCAGCATAGAAGACTACAGAACTGTGGGGCGAAACGACCTAAGCTCTTCTACCACCTACTAGGCTCTGGGGCTTTGTATCCCTCTTCTCCCCACCCCCACCCCTTAGAATGTAAGCTCTTTTCAAACTGATGCTATTCTCATTTTTGTCTCTGTATCCCCAACATCTAGTACAGTGCCTAGCATATAGTAAGTACTTAAATGCCCATTGAATTAAATCCCCTTCTGGGGCTAACTCTCAATGGTTTTGTATAAGGTTACATAGCTAGACATTAGTCTTTTTCTCCAGGGGAATGGGCTAAGCCTGTTCAGTATACCACAGTTCCCTCCACTGCCACCATACCCCACCTGTGCTCCTAGTTACCCCATTATTTACCTATGTGCTAGATCATCAATGCTTTGATGTCTATAACAAAAAAAAGCAAACTAGACACTCAAATGGAGTAAAATTAGCCTTTGTTCAGAAATATATTGTCTCTGTACCTACAGGCCAGTCAGCCAGGGAGTCCTAATCTCCCTCAACAAAGCATGAGATCTGCGGCCTGACCACAGAGTTGTCCTGAGTGAAAAAAAAAAATGAGGTTTGTGGTGGAAATTTCTTTTAAACTTAATTATAATTAAGGACTCCCTTGGTATGAACACTGTTTTCAAAAATAAATACAAATAAGAGAGTGCGTTTGCCAGGAGCATTTCTCCAAATCCTTTTATCTTTACATAGCACTGTAACATTCTGGTCAAATTAATTTTCTGGAACACCCCTTTTTCTTTTCCCCTTAATAAGGCATCTAAGCTCCTTCATTTGAGCAAAACCATTGCAGATCACGGCAATTACTGCCTAGAACAAATCCCAGCCCATTTTAATTAATCCAGGGGAAAAAGATGCCCAAAGATTGTTCAAATTAATTTTTTTCTGGATTTAGAAGCATAATCTAATAATGTCTGTTCACTTTTACTTTCCAGAGTTCTATATTCAAATCCAATTAAGTTCTTCCATGCTCCCCAAAAAGAATTTTCATGCTGGAAGGATTCTTAAGCATTACTTATTCCAACTCCATCATTCTAGAAATGATGGTGCTGGCAAAGAAAGGTTTAATGGATTTGCTCAGAGCACTTAGTTATTTAGGGGCTGGACCAGAATTAGAACTCATATCTCCCAGATCAGTCTAGTGCTCTCAAACCGCTTTCCCCCATTATTAAAACAAGTTCACTGGTTAAAAATCAGATTGTTGTTCAGTTGTGTCCAAGTGAACCCCATACGGAGTTTTCTTGGCAAAGATACTGGAGTGGTTTGCCATTTCTTTCTCCAGTGGATTAAGGTGAACAGAGGTTAAGTGACTTGCCTGCCCACCTCAACTATGTGTTAATAATAGCTAGCATTTATATAGCACCTACTTTGTGGCAGGCACTGTGTTAAGGGCTTTATAAATATCATCTCATTTGAGGAGCTATCACCCCCACTTAACAATGGCAAAAGAAGGTTAAGCGATTCGTCCAAGGTCACACAGCTAGTGTCTAAGGTCATATTTGAACTCAGGTCTTCTTAGCTCCAGGCACAGCACTAGATACACCCAGCCACCTGACTGCCTCCAAAAATAGGTTTAAAAAAGAAAATAATGTTTAATGGCAATTCTGGGTTCTAGTCCCATTGCCTTAGTCGGCTTCAGACAGCAGATCTTAAACTGTAAAAAAGGTTATAACTTTTTCATGTTTCTCAATGGAGTATTCTACAATTTATACTTAAAAAAATACCAGAAATTGAAAGCCTAGAACATACATGTTCATAGGTTATATAAGAAAATAAATATTTGAAAGAGGTTGTACATAATTGAACATAATAATAAAATTAAGACGTAAGGCAGTAGTAACCAAAAACTATTAAAAATAATAATATAATTTACATAGCTCTTCACTTACATTATCTTATCTGATGCTTAAAGCAACCCTGTGAGGTAAGTTCAACAAATATTCTCCCCATCTTACAAATGAGAAAACTAGGATTCAGAAAGGTCAATGATTTGCTCATGGCACCCACCTATTGAGCAGCTTGGTGGCACAGTGGATAGAGAGGTCTCGCCTGGAGTCAGAAATTCTGGGTTCAATTGCAATCTCGGCCACTAGCTGTGTGACATCGGACAAATCACTTCATCTCCTCTTTTGCCACCTTTCCTCAACTGTAAAATGGGAGTGATAGCTCCTCAAAGGAGATGATATTTATAAAGCACTTAACACAATGCCTAGCACATAGTAGGTGCTACATAAATTATTACCATGTAGTTAAGGTGGCAGATTTTGGGGGGGGGGCGGGGTCCTGATCTGTAATTTCATCTGTGCAGTGCAGTCCCAGTGAAGGGCCTCTTTCAACCAAAGCAGATAGGCAATGTGTATTCAGCAATATACATTCTTACAAAAATTGTCTAGAGCATTAAAAGATTAATTAACTCGCCCAGCGTCACACAGCTACCTGACTCTGAAGTAGCTTTCTCTCCCCGTCACCATTTTATGCCTCAGGGAGCACAGATTAGGGGTTCTATATTGTGATTCTAGTTTTACAGAAGGGGAAACTGAGCCCTCTTAAGAATGTAAGTGACGTCTCCGGAGTCAGACGAAGAGAAGTGAAGGCAATTCCACCAGGACAGCGGTCTCCCTCTCCCCCCAACCCACCTGGCCTGATGTCGCAGGTGAGCTGCACGCCAAGGCCTGCGCCCCCCAGCTCAGGGGCAGGGTGGGCCAGCTCAGGGGACACCTCCCCGATGAACTGAGCGGCTCGCTCCGTCACCCGGAGCAGGGTGGGCTCTCCCGGTCCCAGCCCGGGCCTGGCGCCCGCGCAGCCTTCACCCTGCTGCTGGAGGGCAGGGGCCCGGCCTCCGGCTCGGTGTTTCTGGCGCGCCAGCCTCAACGGGGGCAGCCTGCACTCTAGGCCCTTGCAGTCCCGGGAGCCGGGGTCCGTGGCGTTGGGAGCCCCGGCGTTGGGAGCCCCGACGGCGGCGGCACAGTCGGCTCCCGGGGCGCACGGGGCCGTCGGCTCCAGGGCGCCCCTGGCGGCGACTCGCTCCAGCGCCTGCGGCTTGGGGTCTGCGGCGGCGACCCGGGGCTGGCCCCAGGAAGCAGAAGAGGAGCCTGGGGCCGGGGCCGGCTGCACTGGCTGCTTGACCTGGACTTGGCTGCGGCCTGCCGAGGCGCTGTGCAGGAAGGAGCGCGACGGCCGGCCGGCTCTCCCCGGGCAGCGGGCTGCCCCCGGCTGCAGGCACGGGGCTTTGGGCTGCGGAGGCTCGGCGTCCCCTCCGCCGCCGTCGCACGCAGGACCCAGGCACAGGTCCGCGCCGCCCCCTCCTAGCAACAGAAAGCACAGGCCCAGGTAGCCGTAACAGCCCCCGCGGGCGCCGCCCCCGGGCCAGCCCCGCCGCACCTCCCGCATGGTGGGCACCTGAAAGAGCAAACAGAGAGAGGATGGACGGATCAATGGCCCGAGAGCCCGCGGGCCGCGCGGTCTGTAGATAGGCTTCCCCAACACTCACCCAGAGCCCCCTTCCAGCTGTTGGCCTCGCCTTAAGGAAGGACCAAGGTTTCGCAAAGAAAGCCTTCAAAACGGTTCTGGCCCCCAGTGCTGTCCGCCCAGTTATTCAAGGAGCTGGCTAGAAGTTGGGCGCGAGGCACCGGGCTGAAGAAATCCCAGGGTAGTTGTAAGCCCCTTGCAACATCTGGAGATGTACCTTCTGCCCAACTCCACTATCCAGGCCAGGGTGGCGTTCCCTCCAGCGTCATCCCTTTGCCCCCATGCTCACCCCAAACCTAGGAACTTCTGGTGGCCCGATGCTAACTTCATTCATCCCTCCATCACCTCCAAAAAGCTTTGTTTGCATATTCGTTAACTTGTTTTTTACCTGAGGAAAGGAGCAGAGGGAACAGCTGGGAAAGGTTCTCTTAGAAGTTGAGAGTCTGCAGGGTCCAGGCAGTGATAAAAGGATGGGAGAGTCAAGTTTCCCCTTGCAGCAGCCCCGGTGTGACCGATCTGCTGGGAAAGGCTGGCAGGGGGATGTGTAACATGTGTAACATTCCTAAGACTTCTTTAGCATCAGATTTCCCAAGCACCTCCCTTTAACCCTATAAATCCCAAGCCCACATGTAAGGTTTGGAAGGCACCAGAAAGAAACTCGCTCAATCCCATGAGGAACTGCGAACCAGCGACCTTCTTAAAACAAACTTGCTGCTGAGCATATTCCCAAAACAAACCCTGAAACAGCTCCAAATGAGACTTCAACTTTCCTATAGAGGCCTGGTCAGGTTGAAAGACAAGTAGCAGACCTAAAGCGGAAACAACTTCTTCAGTTTTCTTATGTTATAGTAGTTGTATCTCCACTTTTGAATGCTGTAGCTTTCCAGGTCATAGCACTTGGCCCCTTGTAAAATAAATATTTTTAATATATGACTGAATGAATCAATATAATTAATGATCTATTAGAAGACCTACGTCAAGCATATTTTCAAAAACTTCAGAGAATTGGTTTAAAACATCTCATGTTCCATGAAAATGAGATTTATAGGTAGAAAGGGAAATATTTTCAATACAATGTAATAAAATGGGTACTCTGGTAATTATTTTTCTTAGCTTCCTTAATAAAGATTCTAACTTTTATGAGCACATCAATCTTTTTGCAAGTTTTCACAGAAAAAAAATCAATGAAGTCTATTAAACAATTGCACCGACCATGATCTCTGGATTAACTGGCATCTTTCTTTGAAACTTCAGGACATCAGGAAGAAATGTGGAAACCAAGATTTTTTTTTCCGAGTTTTTCTCTTATTGGTGTGCATAATTATTAATATATTACAAGCAAATTCCAAAATTTTAAGCATGACAATTACCACCTCACTTCATGAAAGCCCTACAAGAATATCTAAATATAAATCAAAGATCTAACAGAATTTCTCAAAACACAATGTGCAATTAAAGAAATTTGCCATTTCTTGAATTAGATTATGTCTCTTAATATGTAACAGCTACATGTAGTAAATTCCGATAGGAGACAGGCCAGCCCCCAATGTTGATACTCCCCAACAAGTTTCACTATGATGAAGAAAAGAGACAATGAAAAATGTATTTTTAAATTGTAATTAATATTTTCCTTGAATAGTCATATACAAATATAAACATAACTCATGATTTTATGACTTTAAAAAATCAACAAGCTTTTTGGATTCTAGGGTACAACAGAAGAGCAATGGATTTGAATGGAATGACCTGGGTTAAATCCAGCTCTGCCACTCACTACCTATGTGACTAGCAAATCTCCCAATCTCTCTGGGCCTCAGTTTACTCAAGTATAAAGTGACAGAGTTAGACTAAATGGTAGTCTCTAAGATTTCTTCCAGCTCAAAATTGGTGATTAAATAATGAGTATCATAACATTTCTTAACACAAATTCACTTTTCTACAATGCCATCTAACTTTAAGCTATATTTCACCACATATTTGACATTTCCTAAATGCTGATAATTCACAGGATCTCTCTGAGAAAGCCTTAACGAAGTAAAAAGGCTCTTTTCCTTCACCAAGACCACTGACCAGTAAAATCTGGGTATGTAAAAGAACACTTGCTAGAAGGTAGAATAACATGTAGGGCATGGTGGGGGTAACAGAGCTGTAATTTATAACAGTGACCTCTGAAAGAATAAACATGCTTTCCAAAGCATATCATTTACTTTCTAACTACTACAGAGTAATGTAAAGAACAGGGCAGTCTAACTTCATCTTTTTTTTTTAAGTTGGAAATTCAGCATGTTCAGTTTCCTGGAATGAGCTATACCTCACCCATATCCCCCAGTCAAGTATAGCCATCTTGAAAGAATGGATTTAGAGCTCAGAGACTTTTAACATCCTTTAGCCCAATCCCTTCATCTTACAGATGATAATGTTGGTACTGAAAGTAACTCACCCCAGAGTCAGTAAGTGGAAGACCTAGGATTCAAACCCAGGTCTTCTGATTCTTTTTTTTTCTTTTTTTGCTAGGCAATGGGGTTAAGTGACTTGCCCAGGGTCACACAGCTAGTGTTATGTGTCTGAGGCCTTATTTGAACTCTGGTCCTCCTGAATCCAGGGTCGGTGCTCTATTCACTGCACCACCTAGCTGCCCCACAGGTCTTATGATTCTTTTTCCAGCATTATTTCTACTCCATACTGCCTCCAAAATCCTAGCTAAGGGATCACTTTGGTAACACTTCCATCCACAGTTTCAGTGATTTTCAAGAGTCCTCTAGTACCAAAGAGTAATTCCTCAGTAAAGAGACAAAAAAAAACCCAGGCTTAGAAGGACCTTGTTATTCCATTCTTTATTTAGGAAAAGCTTCTATTAGATTCAACCAAATTTTTGGCTAAGTAAAGCATGCAGAATTAGGCCACCAGGAAATTGTCCCACAGTGTACCATTTAAGCAATCTTTGGTCATCCATTGTAACAAGGGAAGGAAAAAATATTATTGAAGTACACAGAAATAATTTTTTTAATGTTTCAACCACCTCTTCAGACTAAACTGATGGCAAATATTAAAATTGGTGGTCTGGATTTTTACTATCAGGAAATCTTTTTTTATTTTTCACAACTCGGATTTTCCAGAAATGTATACTTCTTTCCCTAGATGTTTAGATTTATTTCTCTTGTTTATTAAGTTTCCACAATTTTTGTTCTATTCTCTAACATGACTAGTAAACACATTCATTGTTTCTCATGGAACTACCCTTTGATAAGCACCTTCATTGATTCCACAGGCAAGGATCCCTAAACACAGAATTAAGTCTCAATACATCCTGCATCAATAATATAAGAGTTGAAACACTCTCCCTTTCAGAAGACTTCATTGATTAGAATCATAGTGTATAGGAACTAGAAGACATCATACATTACAATATTCTTCTGTACTAGGGCAAGGGCAGAGTCAGAACCACCATGTGCTATGGGTATAGATTCCATTGTACCAATTGAAGACTTCTTGGTTTGACAGATAGGAATATGAGTGCAAGAAGGATGTTACAGAGATAGAAAGTCCAAGTGGAAGGCCAATCAGTAACAGTCACAATGGTTATGGAACAGTAGGATCAGATGCAGAAAATAATCTTTAGAGTGGAAGCAGGATCAAAACAAAATCTGAGGTGGGATGCAAGAAGCAAGGCTGAAGGGATTGGGGCTTGAGGTACAAGTGGCTGTTACATTTGGCAAAAAAATCTCTGAATTGGAGAGCTCAACATTCTGCAGCTGTGTGAGTATGGGGGTGTTGCTGCATAACCACCTCTGTCCACTAGCTTCCTCTCACTTTGCCTCAGCTGGACAGCTCCTCCCCTTAACCCCCACATTGCTCTTCGTAGCCATCTGTCTCTAAATACAGCCTTAGTTACAGATGAGGCCCACTGGGGTTTAGTAACTTAGCCAAATGTCACATAGCTAATAAGTGGGTGTTTGGGTGCTACATAAGTCTTCTGATATACCAGGGTTTGTTTGTTTGTTTTTTTTCTTTACACTCTGCCACACTACCTCTGAGTTTAAATAAATCCATAAGACCATTTTACAGGCAATATGTTACATCAGTGTTGATAATAAAGTGCATGTGCTAGTTAATTCATTAATTTGCCTCAATTAGTTTCACTTTAATACTTTTACTATATTTGCCCTAGTCCAGGGGCGGGGAACATGAGGCCTACAGCACACGTGGCCCTCTAGGTCCTCAAGTGTGGCCCTTTGACTGAATCCAAACTTCACTTAATAAAAGGATTTGTTCTGTGAAGTTTGGATTCAGTCAAAGGGCACTTGAGGACCTAGAGGGCTACATATGGCCTCAAGGCCACAAGTTCCCTAACTCTGCCTAGTCCTTAGTGACATTAGAGGCATTGCTTAGAGGGCGTTCACATACCAAAGAAATCACCAATCCTTAATTATTGGAAACACTACTACTAATAATAATAATATAACACTTTAAGATTTACCAAGCACTTAACACAAATTTTCTCATTTCTGAGGCAAGTGCTATTATTGTCTTCGTTTTTTAGATAAGGAAACTGAGGCAAAAGCCAGTTAAGGGACAGTCACACAGGTACTTTGAGATTCAAACCCAGGTCCTCCTAACTGCTTGTCTAGCACTCAACCCACTATGCCAAATTGCCTTTCCACTACTCACTCATGCTTATCTACTACAATCATCCTGTCTGTCTCTCATGTAAGAGAGGATCCTTATTATACCTTAGATACCTTTACCTACCTTCTAGTAAACAGCAAAATGGCCAGAGCTAAAAGGCTAGCTGGAATGTAAAGGAGAGAAAGAAAATGTTAATATCTACAAATTGGATAACAACTCTCAGATAAAGGCAAAATTAATTAGTTCCATAACAAAAATTGAATACATAGGCTCTGCTAAGTTTAATTAAGCTGCAAATAATAATTCCTATCTGCATGCAAAAAGAAGCCAAACACTTTCCTTCAAACATGAAAAATAAAAATGATAAATAATTAACTGATTCAGAGTCTGTCTTTACATTTTATAAGAGGCACAAAGTACAAACTGATATTTAAGCTTTTTGCTTAGACTATTTTAAACCTATTTTGCTTAAAACTTTGATCAAAACAGGCAAGTTTATTTAACTTAACTATGCCTCCTGTTGAGAAAGGATATTAGAGAATGCCCAAAAGAAGATGAGGTGTGCACCATTATTGGAAATGTTACCAAGCAATGTACAATTAGATTTTGTTGCTGACAAAGCAACACAGTCATTGCAAATTCTTCAGCAAACTTCTCCCTCAAAAGAACAGGCAAAGGAAAGGTAGGGTAAGCTAGAAAAAGAAATGAAAGAAATGGCAATTCACCTTATCATTCACATACAAAAAAGTCTCATTTTTAATTAAAATTTGTGATAAAAGATAAATTATAAATCAATGCTTTACAGGTCAGTCTTTACATTATTCATATCCAGAGACTTGCCTTTCTGTTTTCAAAAGAAAATCAATTAAATTATACCTACTGAATATTTTGATGATTTAGAGATTTCAGTTTAGATAAAAATAACGCATATCAGGAAGCTAGAACAAAATGCTTAGGAGGGAGAAAGCCACTCTGTCCTTTAAAATCACCTTTGTTTGCCTGCACTAGAAATAACAAATTAGAGGGGCAAGACCAGTAATCAAAGATATCCTGAACATTGCATTTACAACAACGACAAATATTTAAATGAAAGCATATCTTTTGAGAGGGAATCTATTAAGCCAAGTCCTTAACTGCAAAAACCAAATATAGTAAAACCATCCCTTGAGATTTTATAGTACAGTCATAAACAATTAACAAAATTAAGTGAGGTACCCAGAATATAAGCTGCAGAGCAAACAAAATGGGGAAGAGGAAATTCCAAAGGGGAAGA